TGCTGGGGTTGCCTCCCTGATCACCCAGAATCAGCACTACTCCCATCTGCGTGAAGCCCCGATTTAGATCTAGAGAGGTTAGAAACCCCACCTCCAAGAGTCTTTGACATCTTTAACAAGTTGTGATGCACAGTAGAGGGGGCCTAGACCTCGTCTTTCGCCAGCGGGACTGTGTGCAGTGCCGGTGAAGAATGTGTTTCTGTATTGACCATCTGGGGCAATCGGAGACTCCATGCAGAGACTGGGAGCCATCCAAATGATGGGTTGCAAACTCACTATCGGCCCCTCCACCAAGAAGTTATAGAACTTGAAAGAGTTCCGTGATTGGAACTTCTAGGGACCAGTCAGAGGGGAAAACCTGCTTAGTCTCGCAGCCTCTGTCTTGAAAATGGGCCTCCATCTTAAGGCTAAGTCTGGTGACGACAGATGTGTGTGTGTGTGTGTGTGTGTGTGTACTCAGTTCCAGAAGACAAACAAACCCATGAATGTGCATAAGCAGCAAAAACCTGAGCAGACACCTTAGACACAACCAGTCAGAAGGCTGAACACTGAACTTAGCAAGATCTGGATGTTCTTGCTGTACCCTGTCTGCAGTTTGTGGTTTTGCCCCAACAGCCTGACCAATGATTTTAAAGATCGCCTTGCCCCATACCCCTACCCAATTCCGAACCGCCAAGGCATAAACTCCCTGCTTGCGGTTTTTTCCTTTAAAAACTCGATGTTCCCTGAGTCCGGGGTCACATCCCCCCATCAGCTGTGTCAGTGACCAAGGTCGAGTTTGACAATAAAGGCCTTGATGTGTTTGCATCCGAAACCGGCTCCCTGGTGGTCTCGTTCTAGCCTCCCCAATCACCTGCTCACATGTGGTGCACATAACCTCACACAGTGGGCACGCATGTGGGCATGTGCACACACAAGTGTAAATTTTGCTTTACATTTTATTCACAAAATTAAAATCAAGAACATTGAAGAGGGGTCTTTTCCTGCTCTCTGGGCAGTGCTTGGCCTGGCTGGCTCCGTGCTGCGCAAGCATCGTTTCATCTGGAGAAGGCAGAGCATCTTTACCTGGTCTCCTCTGCTGATCTGCTGACCCTTGCCTTGCATTCAGACAGCAGCAGGTACCGTTGTGTGACGGACGGGCCTCGTCTTCGTCGCACCTGGGCATGTCAAAGACCGGATCTGCCCTGCATCCATGGCAGGAAGTCCCTCCTCCAATCTACTGTGTTCCTCCCCTGCTTGTCCCTGCATGTCTCCATAGGTTCCTTAGTGGTGTCCAGACACTGAGGCCTGTGCAACTAGGGACTGTCCTGTGTTCAGGAGGCTGAGGCAAGAGGTTTACTGTGAGTTCCNAAGACCATGACTCGAAAAATGAAATAAATAAATACCCTCCCCCCAGGAAAAACCCCTTGGGCTGGCCAGATGACTCTGTGGGTAAAGCAGCTGCCCCTGAGCCTGATGCTGAGTGTGATTCCTAAGGACTAAGTGCCCCTCACAAACACACACACAAAACAAGTCAGAAAACAGCTAACACCCTTGTTCATGAAAGTAGAAATGGGGCCATTTGGGGAAAGGAAGGAGACAGGGAAGCGGGGACGGAAGGGCAGTGGCCATGGACGCGGTGTGCTTAGGTGAGAATGTCACTGCCATGGACGCGGTGTGCTTAGGTGAGAATGTCACTGTGAAGCCCTTCGCATCGTGATTGTGCCCAAGCTTTAAAACCTTAAGGAAACTAAGGAAAGGAAGCAAAGGGGGAAGCAGACATTTAAAATCATGTGATCCTGTATTTGAAATAACAGAGTGGACTTCAGGAGGACAATATCAAGCTGGGCGTGGTGGGTCGGATTGTCTGAGTACTTGGATGTGATGATGGTGGCCGACCCTGCCAGCGGTGAAGCTGAGCCTGTCACCCAGCATGTGCTCGTGGAGGTGGAGCCCAGACAGGAGTTGAGGCCAGCCAAAGCCACAGGAAACCCTGTCTCAAAAACTCAAAACAAAAGCCCATAAAAAAAAAAAAAGCCATGACTGATGCCCCCAAATTTCAAAGGTATTAAGTAGAGTTAGCAGATGCACTTGAATTAATGAAGTTGGGCATGTGGCTATTTCCATTCGGGGATAAAGGAAAGGCTGGACAGATGGCTCAGATGTTATGAGAGAGAGCACAGCTCTTGCAGGGGACCCAGGTTCTGTTCCCAGGACCCCTGCTAGGTAGCTCACAACCACCCCTGCGCAGCATACCCCACAGCTCACAACCACACGTGCGTATATTCCCCCCTCCCCCCGCAGTGAAGAAGGGTTTAAACGTGCGGATGGAGCAGCTTTCCCTCCTTTTTCTGACTTATTCCTCCCACTCCCTGGTTTAGCTGCAAGCATATTTTGCAGCATGTGTAATCTCAGGAAACAGCTTGAACTGGTGTATCCAGAGAGATCTGATTTGGAAACATCGTTTCCTGGCAGCCTGTGGGGAAAAAGAAACTTAACCAAGAAACGAGAGTGAAAGTTGAGGAGGCTGGGGGTGGGGCCAGCTCTTAGAGGGAAGCTCTGCTGTTCCTGCACAGCAGGGAGCATTATCTCAAAGCCTTTTCCTGTCAACATCCTCCCGCCTCTGAAGGCCAACTGTGGGTGACCGCCTGGCCTGGCTGCACGTCCCGGGGGCAGGGCTGAGACAGCTGGTCACATTATCCCACTGAACCAGCTCTAGGGACAGCAGGGAGCTGGGGCCCAGCAAAGCTGGGTAGAGTGTGAGGTTGAGAGGCTAGAGCCTTTCTTTCATGTCCTCCTCCGCCCCTCTGTCTGCCCCCCCCCCCCCCCCCCCTGGAGTTGGTCTTCAATCCTTGCAGGCTAATGAATTCCTAAGCCAAGGTTTCTCTCCTCCCCTTCTTCCTTCTTTGTCGTGTGTGTGTGTGTGTGTGTGTGTGTGTGTGTGTGTGTGTGA